TGTTGAGAAATGGAAAAACATCTTTTCTTTGGCTACTTGCTGCCATACTGTTCTGCCTGCTCTAGCTTGAGCCCTCCCATTAGTTGGAGGATGCCTTCCCCAAAATCAGGAGTGTCCCTGTAAAACTGGAATTGAATCTTGGGAATACGTTTCAGGCACTGCTAGTGCCTTCTGTTGACTAAACACTAGTCGTGGCAGCAGGTTATTGGTAATATTTTAATGACATTCCCAATGAAATCCATTGATGGGGTAAAAGAGGAAGGGACATAAAATGCAAACATGAAGCCCCATGAGAAACGTGGGGCTCCTGCCGTTTTCCAAATAGGGTGCCTGTACTCCTGAGAGCTGGGGAAGCCCAGACGGTTTCGGAGGGGTTGCAAGAATGGGGTGGGCAATTGGGAGAAAGAATGACACAAATCGCTTGGAGAATGACACACCGATCATCCTGCAGGGAGGCTCCCTCCCACGGATGACCTGGTATACCTGTAATGTAGAAGAGTCCAGCTCTGCGATCTCCCTCCTCGTGCCTCTCCTGCAACTCCCGATACAGCCCCGACGCTTCAACTTCTGAGAGACAGCAACGGTGGCTAATCAGGTGGGCGGGCTGGATAAATGACCCTAGCGGGCCATATCCAGCCCACGGGCCGTAGTTTGAGAACCCCTGGGCTAGACCTTCCCAAGTCCAGATGGGAGATTCCACAGAAGGTCATGGAGAATAACAGGACTAGATCCTGTGGGACTCCAGATCCAGATGGACAGGCAGGTACTGGTTAACCAACCAGACATCGTGGTAGTAGACAAGGACCAGAAGACAGCAGTGGTGATAGATGTGGCAGTGCAAAGTGACAGCAACGTCAGGAAAAAGGAGTCTGAGAAGCTGGAGAAGTACCAGGGCCTGAAGGAGGAACTAGAGAGGATGTGGAAAGTAAAGACCAAAGTGGTCCCAGTGGTGGTAGAAGCCCTCAGGGCTGTGACTCCAAAGCTGGGAGAGTGGCTCCAACAGATGCCAGGAACATCAGAGTTCTCTGTCCAGAAAAGTACAGTGCTATGAACACTAAGACACTGTGCAGAACCCTCAAACTCCCAGGCCTCTGGTAGAGGACCCGAGATTGAGGAAGACACATACCACTCATAGGGGTGAGAAGGGAATTTTTTATAGGAAATTTATTCAAACATAATAAATCTGTAATGACAAAGTTTTCTGGACAACAGTCCACTTCATCAGATACAACAAATATTATACCCAGAAAAATTATCTACAATGTGTATATAAAATTTGAGTCAAATAAATAATAATTCAAAATAAAATAATTCATTAATGAGATTAATTACATATAGTAGAAATATCAGAAGAAAATCCAAAAATATATCAAGGAGGTACAAATACTTAGCACAGCAGCTGAAGCATAATAGGATTACATGGTCTTTCAGTCATTCCCTGTAATATAAATTTTCTTAGATAATTATAATAAATATACATTATATAATTCGTCCTCTGTATTGGGTCTACTTTAGAATCTCTGCCCTGCATGTTTCCCTTCATTTACAATGGGAAATCCTACTCTGCTTGTACAGAAGATGGTGCCTCTGATGGCCACCGGTGGTGTGCCACAACTGCTGACTATGACAAGGACAGTAAATGGAAAGCATGTGCTCTTCAAGGTGGGAAATCTGGTGCTGGTCATTTGTAGGAGGAATTTTGTTTAGGGTGGCACAAGTGTGTGCACTTCCTATCAACCTGGGAGGAAGAAGAAAGATTTCTGCAAGAGATTTTATGGCTAGTTGACTAAGTGAGGATCCTACCCCTACAAACCAATCAACAAACAAGCAAACAAATAAACCAATATATCAGCTATCTTTTGAATAACAACATACATTCCACTGAAAGTTAATATGTGAGTATCGAGGGCTGTGTGCAGATCTATATAAAAGTTAACCCCGCCTCTTCACTTGCTCTTGTTGTGTCCGTTGGGACCAACAGTCCTGTAAGGGAATTCGAAAAGAGCAAAAAGTAGAAACTGCCATCTCCCCTTACTTTTGTGGCCAATAACTTGGCTGTGGACCACTCATAGCGGCCTTAAAAAATGAAAGTATACGAGGCCTCAGAACACTCACACCAAGTATACTGGAAGTGATCCAACCCCAAGATTGGAACTGCCTGTTTTGAGGTCAGATCACTTCTTTTTTTAAATAATAGCTTTATTAATTCTTAAAAGAACAATAAAAATGAACCAAAACTAATACGAAGAATAAAAAATAAGAAAGAAAAAAATTGAAAAAAGAAAAAATAGTAAAAAGCAAACGTGCAGAAAAAACAAAACAAAAAAGGATTGACTTCTAAGCCACCCCACCACAGGTAGAAGTAAAAATATACATCAAACTCTTGCTCTAAATTTACTACATAGCTTCCATTATTTCTATTAACCCATATTACTGAGGTCAGACCACTTCTGTACAAATGCCCTCTTAGGAAGCCAGGCTACTTTCAGCATCTGCTGAATGAGATTGGACTACTCCTAACAGATTTGGAATGGCCTGTTCCAAGGTTCATATATTTACATCTTGAAACATTTTGCACATCTTTAATCTAAAGCAGCCACCTGAGAAGAACAATAGGCCTCTCGGGCTAACTCGTTTCTATCTCAGCTAGTCAGTGTATGAATAATGGCACCTCATTTGCAACTTTGCAAATACAGAGGATGAATTATATAACGCATATTTATTATAATTATCTAAGAAAAGTTATATTACAGGGAATGACCGAAAGACCATGTAATCCTATTATACTTCTGCTGCTGTGCTAAGTATTTGTACCTCCTTGATGTATTTTTGGATTTCTTCTGATATTTCTATTACATGTAATTAATCTCATTAATGAATTATTTTATTCTGAATTCTTATTTGACTCAAATTTTATCTACAAATTGTATTTTGGGCCAGTCTGAGAAAACTATTAGTTTGCCTTCCACAATCTGCTGCCTTTTAAGTATATCTGCAAAATTCTGAAAGTTGTAACCCCAACAGAACTAGAAAGCCCTAGGTTGGAAGAGTCCATATTAGCTATATGGTAAGTAGCTTAGAAATTAATTCATATAGTTAAAAAGCCTTTTGAATTATTGAGCCATATTTAAAGACAGATGATCACACTCTACGGGCCTCTATTTAAATCCTACATCGCTCTAGCCATTCTTTGCATCTGATGAAGTAAGTGGTAGCTCACAAAGGTTTACGCCTTTTAATAAAATGTTGTAGTCAGAAAAGGTGCCACCAGACTCCTGATTTTTTGCCACCATAGACTAACATGGTTCTCCTCCTATAATGTCTACAGACCTCCCAGTGCATTATGTACATTCTTCCCATACGTCCTCACAAATGTAGCATACCACAAGGAGATTCTTAGATCAAAGCAAGCCGATTGCCATTCCTCCACACCATATGGATATGTATTATGGGGGGAAAAAAACAGATTTCATTTTGTCTGGGAAGAATAGCATGGAAAATTATGCTGGAAATACGGATACTGAATATTACAGCCTAGTTGTTCTGTTTTGTTTTTATTTAATTATTTATTTGATCATGCTTGGGATTGGGGGAGGACAAATTCTAGTAGGCTTGAGGCATGTATATGGAGTTCTTCTGTAAATCTGTAATTCTGAATAGACCCCAAAGAAAAACCTTTCTAGTGCATCATGCTAAAAAAATTATATCCCATAGTCCAGCACTTTCTTCTCATATGTTACTATTTCTAAGCACATCCTAGAAAAAGGATGTTTCCTGGTCCTCTGTTTTTATTTCGTACCTGAAGGATCACAATATGCCTCTTGGGCTCTACATCATAGTTGCTGGTGAGAGAGCACCAGAGCCTCCCTCTAGCTTCCCCATCTGTTGTACATGATGAGTATGTTTCACCATTGTAGATTAAAGGAAAGATACAGGGACCCTGAGCATTTGCAGCTAATCCTGCATAGAGAGAAGAGAGAGACAAAAGGGGGGAAAAAATAGCCATTTCTCCTGGCAGATGCATCCCTGATCCAATATGCGAGATGCATGCTGAGGTCTCCACACATCTTTTTACAAGTAGCTGAATGTAGTCTGCATCAGGGGAAGTTTAAAACTGTGGTACTTGGAGAGAGGTGGTGGCAGCTGAGTGTTTTAATATAGTCCCCTTGCCATTTTATCTATAATCCTCTCCTCCAAGCCTATTAATAGCCTAAATGAAAATAAACAATGCCCATAATATAATGTGTTAATATAGATTCAAGAATAGACTCTTGGATCTGGGATAGGTAAAGTAGGCATTCCATCAGTAAACTCTGCCCTCTCCATGTCCTCCTGCCTACAAGACTTCCACTATACATTTCGTACATTTGCACAATTGTCCATTCCATACTTTAATCCATACTGTAACTTCTCCCTCTGTTTCAGTACTAGTGTTCCAAGGAATTGCCATATCAACATAACCACATTTCTTAAATCCAAGGATTAACCTACTGATGTCAGCACAGTAGCTCCACTTCATGTCCTTATCATAGCTTCCTGTTGTGGCACACCAGAACCTCCCAAAGAGAGCATCTTCATTGGTGCAGGTATAGAACGTTCGACTCTTATAGGTGAAGGGGAAGACACAGACATGCTCACCAGAATTGCCTCCATACTCTATACAGGCAGAGAGCATTGGAAGTCACATTCTGATCCATGTTAGTAGAAACATGCTTTGTTTGCTTGTTTAGCAAATTTATATAGCCACCCATGGGCCACCCAACCAATGGGCAGTGAACAAAAGTAAAAACAAACCAACTACACAGATCCATTAAAAAGAAACAGGATACAGTATCAAACAAATCATATCCACGCAAGAGCTCTATCAACATCCTAGTCCCAACGCCTGGGAGAAAAGCCAGGTCTTCACAGCCTTCTGGAAGGCCAGGAGGTCAAGACTCTCCATATCGTAGGGGAGGCTGTTCCACAAGATAGGTACCATGACAGAGAAGGCATGCTTCCTGGTAATTATTTTTAACAGCAATAAATTACCATAAATAATACAGTAATAAATTACAGTAATAATTACCTACAAATGTTAGGTCAATATATTCCCCTTGAACCTTCTCTGTTGTAGGGCTTATCCCCTAGAACACCATCTCCCCAGAGATCCATATGTCTCCCACCCTGATGACATTCTGAGAATCTTTGAAGACCTGGCTATTCTCCCAGTCTTCAGGGCAGGGTGGGTGGTGAGCCCCTGTTGGTTGTTTCTGTTACACTGTAAGTTTCCTATATGTGTGTGGTTCCTTTTTCAATAGTAATAATAATCCAAAACATCTGGAGTACCACTTGAACACCATCAGCATTGAGAAAATCACCATCAGTCAATTGCAAAAGGCAGCTTTACTTGGAAAAGCTTACATCCTGCGATGATACTTTTAACACCATCAAACAACAACATCTGCCTATCCCAGG